ATATCTTTGTGGTGTAGGTGTTAGTTTTGATGTAGTATAATCAACTTTCAACACTAAGCTACCACTTCAGTTTTGATGATCAATTAGTTCGTTGCAGAATAAAAAAAAAGGTATTTTTTTTTACATACTATACAACAGATTACACATATTCTAAGGTTACGATAGTATAATGAAGTTGAGATCCAAGTTGCTAACCCTAGTTTGCTCTGAGAATACGAAAGACGCGTGAGAAAAAGGACCTTTCTTCAGGCTAACACAAAACCTGTTATCGTCACAAACACACGCTTACAGACAATTCTTTGTTTGTTTACCAACTCTAAGCCTACCTTTTAGCTTAAAACTCTACAGTTCCTAATTTTTTCAATAATTAAAACTAAGCCACAAAGCAATTTTTCCACATTTAAAAGTGCAATCAACGATATAAATTCATCCAATAATCAAATTATATATTTATGGATGTATTAGTTTATTTTATGTTTTAACAGTGATAAGTATCCATTAAGTCTCAATGTATATCAATATTATAACATTCTTTATCATCGACATAGCAGGACAACTGGAAACTGCTTGAAACACTAGTTTTAACTTATCACAATAGGGGTTTGTATTCCAAAATGAACTGTTGTGTTGTCGTATTCTAAACATATTTTACTGTCATATTCATTGACAAAAGAAGATATTTGTGAAGTTCGATATTTGAATTATCTTTACAGCTGCGCCAGCATAGAGGTTTAGTAGGAATTCAGATGTATACTGTTGATAAACAGGCACTACTAAGCTTTTAAGCTCATTTGTCGTAGAAAATGTTGCTCCTAAATAATATATGAAAACCAGCTTAATATAAAAACCGGAAGAGCTCTTTCACAACTTTTGTTTTTTTTATATAAAACTAATGCCAGTTATGGAGTTCGGCATATTAATTAGGGTACGATCGGTGGAGGAAAAATACAACAACTTATGATATGGAGATGAATACAAATGACACTGTCATCTGAAAAAAAAACTGGAACACAAAAAAGAAAAGCAGGGTAGGAGGATATTTCTCCATTTTCCTCATATTCTTTCGGTTTATCAATTATAGAAGCGTTAAAAAACAGGCACTGAATAAGAAAACGTTTCGTGAACAACGAATTAATTATGTGGGCTATGAAAGGAAACGCGAGTATAGAGTTAAAAGCAACTTTAAGTTACGCAGAAAGATATTGTTATTACATCCCTAGGAGGACAGCGGTATTCTTTAGGGTTAAAGGTCACATAATTATATGTTTGACCACTTAAACTTGGTGGTTTACATTGTTTTCCTTTCAACCTTAGGATTACCGCTGGAATCCATGTGAACTACAACATCTTTTCTTAAAAACGATTCCCTGAACAATTTATGCACCAAATTACTTGTGGGTTCTTAATATCATACGTGTTTCATCCATAAAAAGCATAAAAAAATACTATCAACTTTGCAGTTCCATTAATTACCGTGTGTGTGTGTGGGGTGGGGGGGGGTCACTTGCGTGTCTTACGAAGAAAATGATTTCGCCCAGTGTTTCCGGTCAGTTTTTTTACGCTGGAAGTTGTCGTAGGAGGCCAAAATATAAAATTATGAGCACTCCACCAGTAGTGAACGACGTAAAAACTAAATCGCTATATAATTTGATGTTTAAGTAGTACTGAGCACACTTTTTGGTAGACCCACTTTCGGTCATTATTTATCTAAACAAATATCTGGCCGTTAACGTTCTAGAGCTTCAAATTCGTGATTTTAACGTTACTTATATATTGTTAAATTTCGTGTAAAGTTTTACCACTATCCAGTGACCATTCGCTGGAAAGCAACGCGTGTTGTTCTCAAGGCATTTTGCTGTCTTAATCAGGGACCCAGTCTTCATAATGAGATGTTTTGAAAACCCTGAAGATAACCCTTTCAAGATTTATGGGTCCTTGGGGTCACACCTTATTCAACGAAAAGACCGTTATCAAGGTGCTGTAATGAAACTTAATCATCAAGTGTTTAGGCAGTAAATCAAGATCGACTGTATAATTAAAGAGAAACCGCTTTGGCAGACAGGGCAAAAGGCGGGGAAATGCGTGTGAGACTTGTATGGTGTGGATCTTTCTTCAAGTTGATCCATTAGTTGTGCAACAAGTAATATTCTCTGCTCATTTTTTTCTTTTGTGTTTGTAACGAGACGATGTTTGAATTCTGTGCTGTATGGAACAGGGTTTATACCACAGTGACGATCGAATACATAGGTGTGTGACCGTGTCAGTGTGTCGGTATCCGTAAAAGTGTTTACGAGGCTTGGACCAAATTTTAAAGTAACTACTAATTTCAACTTCTCTTCTCAGTATCGTGGCGTGGGTTGCTTAGAAACTGGTGACGTAATCCTGATCACTTACTTTTATTTGGTTGTATTTTATTTCATATTAAAAACTTTCATTGAAACTTACGCATTGCATTATGTGTGTAATATGGCTATATTTATTATTTTCAAACCTGCGGCTCTTACTACATCTTATGTACTAAATGAACATGTTAGAGAACCCATTGTTTAGGCATAACTCAGAACTGCTGACCAGAGGTAGAGCAGCCACTCGGCAGTAACGTCTTTCATCTACTGGTAATGTTAACGGAATAGCAAAATTAACTGTCTATTTCATATTTGGCACACGGCAGAAAGTACGAAAGCTCAAATCTTGGACTTATCCTAGTCCCAAACTTGTTCACATCCTAGTCCCAGACTAAAATTGCTTAATGTTTTGTTGTTGTTTTACTTTTCCGTATCTTGCAAGGGCCTGGCATGACCTGATGGTTAGGGCGCTCGACTCGCAATATGAGGATCGCGGATTGGAATCTTCGTCACTAAAGATGTTTGCCCTTGCAGCCGTGGGGGCGTTATAATGTGGTAAAAGAGTAGCCCAAGAGTTGGCGGTTGGTGGTGTTGACTAGCTCCCTTCCCTCTAGTCTATCACTGCTAAATTAGGAAAAACTATCGCAGATAGCCCTCGTGTAGCTTTATGCGAAATGCAAACGAAACTCTTTCTTGCAAAATTAACAGTAAACAAACAGTTAATTATGATAAACCAATTAACAAACTCGTACAGAATTACAGTAACGTAAAAATAAATGCACGAGATAATATTTTACTGCTTCCTCATTTGATCTGCCGAAGGCTAAAAAAAAACCTAGTAATTTTTAAGCTTGTTTTAGAACATTTTAATTGAACATTCGTTAAAATCAGTTGGTGTTTTCGTTAAGAAACAGTTTCTAATACTTATATCTAACCACTTATATATTGACCATATCATGAGGTTGTTAGTTTGGACGTTAAGTCGAATATATTCCGAACATGTACAGCCTTTATTTTTCCAGTTTCTTTCCACGTTGGCCCGGCATGGCCAGGTGGTTAAGGCACTCGACTCGCAATCTGAGGGTCGCGGGTTCGAATCTATGTCACACTAGACATGCTCGCCCTTTCAGCCGTGGGGGCGTTATAATGTGTCAATCCCACTATTCGTTGGTAAAAGAGTAGCCCAAGAGTTGGCGGTGGGTGGGGATGACTAGCTGCTTTCCCTCTAGTCTTACACTGCTAAATTAGGGACGGCTAGCGCAGATAGCCCTCGTGTAACTTTGCGCGAAATTCAAAAACAAACTTTCCATGTTACAGTAACACCTTACCAACGTCGTAATATTATATGCGAGTCATATTGCTCATTTCATTTGTGCACAGCTAAAAAAAAGACCCATTAACCCTAAAACACGCTCCGCACTTTGTGGCTGCGGCTGGACTAAAAAAGTAATATCGCATTATTCGATTTAAACAAGAGTACCTCACGAATTGTCGGTGAGTGCTGTTGACAAGCCGCCTTCCCTCTAGCTCGTTAGTTCAAAATGAGGGACGATTAGCGCAGACAACAGACCTTTTATGATTTTGTTAAAAAATTTAAACAAACTTGGATATTAATATCTCCATAATTAATGTAAGATACTTTCAATGTAAAAAAATAGCATTTCAAGTTAGTTTGTGTTTAAAACAAATATATTTTCTTCTGCATGTTTCTGTTTTACTGCATGTTGAAGTTCTGTTGTTTAAACCTACCAAAACCCTAAATATAAATGTATTTTCAAGCCTGAAAATAATCTCAAAGTCTCAATCTCTGCCAGAAAGTTCAGACGTTATCGGAGAATATTAGACTTTTAAATAGATCTGCCATCGCCTAGAGCTAACACAACCGTACTTGCCCCACCAGTCATTAATGTGCCATTGTCGCATGTATTTTTCTTAGATATAAGCCTGGGGGATTTTCTACATTTTATTGCAGTGATTTTAATCAATGTGGTTAGAGAAAAACAAACGCTTCTTAGCAGCCAGGAGTCTAATGCACTGTGTGTTGATCTTATTCGTTAGTTATCTTTATGAAACTTCTAATGCTTTTGTGGTTTGTACCGTTAGCTCAAAAGTTCGAAGAATTCGTAAAATTTAGAAATGTAATTTTTTTAAGCTCTTCGAACTTTTGAATCTAACTAATTAAAATAAGAAACTTTTAGTTGGTTTGCCAAGTTTGAGAAATTATGAAGAAATGCAATATTAGAATTATTTAGTTTGTATTTTAAAAGTGTCTAGAACGAAATGACTTAATTTTTCTTGCGTTATGTGTGTGTTTAGAACGAAACGACTTAATTATTTTTGCGTTATGTGAGTATCTAGAAAGAAACGACTTAATTCTTCTTGCGTTATGTGTGTGTCTAGAAAGGAACGACGTAATTATTTTTGCGTTATGTGAATGTCTAGAAAGAAACGACTTAATTCTTCTTGCGTTATGTGTGTGTGTCTAGAACGAAACGACTTAATTCTTTTTGCGTTATTTGTATCCCAACAAGTGAATAATTCCTCTTGAACGACGAGTTTTTAACTAAATATTCAAGCGTTAAAAGATTTGGTAACGAAGCCATTACATTGCCCCATTTAACGTTTTTAACTCCCATTTTTCATTATTCCCTGCAGGTCTGAAACTTTCAGTACAACTCGAGAAACTACTGCCGACGTCGTGTCTACATCAGGAGCAGAAGAAGTACCACTGGTAGAAGAGAAAGTATCGGAGGAGAAGACGAACCAAGGTTGTTTTTGGAGAAGAGTAATTCGATTTGCAATCCCGTTTCAGTTGGCCGTGGTTGCACTTTGTTGTGTAGCTTGTTTAATGGAGCCTCATTGTTGTGATTACGTAAACAATTTGAACTTTTCCTTTGCTCCCCAGCTACGATACATTGGTGGTCGGCCTCCGGTTTGAGATTATCAGCCCCAGGTTTCTTTGGATGAAATAGGTGAAGTTGATACCGAATGACTGCTAACTCTCTTATTAAGACAATTCTAGGAGAGAATGAGCTTTGGGGTGGAGATTATCCGAGAACTTTTCAACACAGTTACTTTTGTGCTGGGATTGGTAAACATGATGTATTTGTACATGGAGGTACCTCTACGATGTATATAGCAGGTTATTTTTTTTTTCTGAGATCATGTTAATAAATTTCTTGAACTAGCAAATCGAATATGAAATTTTCTGTTATAAAAAAATAATTACATTACTCCGTAAAACTGGTCTACCTTCCTGAAAATAATTCAAACGCACACTGATAAGATTAAATTGTAATGACTACTTCAGCAGTTGTTAATCAGAATGATTTGTCACATGATGAAGCTACAAAAAAAAAAAAACAGGTTGAGAAACGAAGACATAGCAACTATGACTAAATTAGCTGTACTTGAACTGTGAAATGTGTAGGCTAGAAACCAGAAAGGCACACGTACAATACAAAATGGTGTTATTTGGGACTGATTATATAACTCTTGCTTTACTACTAGACGAGCATTTGTTGTACATAATATCGTGATGACTTATTTGACCTTTGGTAGAAGAACCATTACTTCTTAAGTCCTCATGGAAAAGTTCAGTTTGGTAAGATGAAGCGGATTGTTAGGGCTAACATCAAATACATGGGAATTCATTTTCTTTAGAATTGTGATGGAAAAAAACGACCTTAGATTGTATAAAGCATAGATTCGTATCAAATGGATCTTGAGTATGTGACAACCGCATGGATTTGGCACCTAAGAGATTATTAAACATTAGCGGAAAATATTTAAGCTTTTCATGCCGTATTTACAGTAGTAGTCTTCAGGAAGTAGTAAATCACCAGAATCTGTTGACAGCATATATATATATATATACGCCTTATTTAATTCATTAAGTAGTGGCACAAATTAGGTACTGTACCCCATACCACGAAAACGTAATTCCGACTTGAGTTATAACCCCTTCGTAGCATACAGTTTATATTACTAGAGGCATTTGAAAATAGGCCGTCAGACAAAGCTGCATCACCTTGTGGATAATATAATTAGTTTTTGATTGCTTAATTGCCTTAAAGATTCCCCGTATATAGATCTAGTGCTATATTGATGCAAGGACATGCTTATGTTGTTGAACTGTTCATTGTTAATGATGGCTCTCATCAGAGTAAAGATTTCTTATAGTAGTGTCATGTAATTGTGTAAACAAACTTGAAATAATCACCAGGGATCAAGACAATCATGTGTGGTTCTCACGTATGTTTTAAGTCTACGTAGACTGTATAGGAATAAAACAAACACGATTGTTTGATATGCGCATTAGAAACTAGCCATAACAAGCTTTAAGACGCAGAAGATCATTATATGATCTCGAAGTATTCATGTTAATTACGTAATATAAAGGTACATTGTTGAATTTTTTTTAAAATTATGCAGCATTTCATGAACTCGTCCATTTAACAACACAACTTATACTACAGGATCGTAAACATTCTGATTCATTTTATTTTACCTTGACAATTTTAACAATAAACTTTTTTTTTGTTAACATAATGGTTGAAGCTTAAAAATTTGTAAAATGTAAGAAAGTTTTTTTTTTGTTTTTTATTCGTCTCGGAATTAATGTTGATGTGCTTTTAAAACATCAAAGTTTACTGTGAAATACGTAGTCGTGAAATTGCTATTTATTTTTTAAAAATCTGAAATGAAACCCAGAGCATGTATGGTGGAGTTTCTAAACTCAGGGTGCCTGTAATGTACAAAGAAAAGCGTCAATTCTCTCGTGTTGGAAACGTACAACGACGAACGAACGAAACTAATATAAGTGATTCAACCGCTGGCCCATCTTTTAGTGATATCTCATTGCATGGAACCTTCTTCCTGTGTTCATGACGCAAAACTGTGTCTTTACTTTTTGAGTAAAAAGAAATACAAGTTATTTACAAGCATATTTTTTTAGCAGATTGACTATCTATCAAGAAGGTGGGTGTTAATTAACCCCTAACCCTTGGATGTCTGATGAAGGGGTCCTACATGTATATCTTTAGCAGTTATCACTTTCTATGGTGTAGAAAGTGGATGTTAATTAACCTCTAACCCTTGGGTATCTGATAAAGGGGCCCTACATATATATATTTGTAGTAGTTATCGCTTTCTGTCGAGTGGATATTAATTAACCCCTAATCCTTGGATGTCTGATGAAGGGGTCTTACATGTATATCTCTAGCAGTTATTACTTTCTATCAGTTAATTTCTATAGTTAACGGAAAAATTACACAGTTCTCTCCTTTCAGAACCTCGCCACATAATACATATATTTTACTAGTCCAATAACATTCCTTCACGCGCTGGTAATAGGAAACCAGATTAATGTTAAGGAACATCTGAGCTCATTCATGAAGTTGTTAGGCATCCCAAACAAACACTGTGATTTTAGAAAATGTAGAAGCACACTATACAACTTTCCTGGTGCTAAGTTGTTTAAATATTGTGTATAGTTTAGCACGCAAAACTCGGCATACTCGTATGTAACCTCGTATGGACATAACATTTATCAACTGACAGTGAATTTGGTTATAATTTATGTCGCTGAATATACATTTTTACTTTATGTATATATATGCCCCCCAGTGGGACAGCGGTATGTCTGCGGACTTACAACGCTAGAATCCGGGTTTCGATACCCGTGGTGGGCAGAGCACACATAGCCTATTGTGTAGCTTGGTGCTTAAATACAAATAAACAAATTATATATATATATATATATATATATATCATTAAACTATTTTACTATGTT